TGATATAACCCCAAGCGTGTGGTTCAGCGGTAGGGGTTGATCCACGCTTAAGCAAGGTCAGGGGTTCGAATCCTGCCTTGTGTATGCAGCCGCGTTAAATCTTGAGGCCAACTATCCCACCCTTTGAGGTGCCTCTAACGAGGAAATTAGTCACTGCTATCGGCAGTGGATACTCTAGGGACGAACTAAAAAAAAAAAAAAAGACTTGTTGATATATATTTTTACAATCATATAATAGTCAATTGTAGTAGTTGTAATGATCGTTATTGTGGTACGATGGAGTGGGGCGACTCCAATGCACTACAACACTTGTTGCGAAGTGCTTTAAAGGAGCGACTGCGAAAGCAACAAAGCATGGCGATGAGATCATGAGTGACGACAAATTTTCTCTTACTTCTTTTGGTATAAATCTATCTTATTCTCCTACTGATATCAACAGGTTTTTCTTCTTCTCTAGAAGTTTTTTTTACTTCTCTATTTCTTTTATAGTAACTTCTCCTTATTTTTAATTATTATTATAATTCAGATAATATTTTAAGTAATAAAAAGTTTCATATAAAACCTTTAACATTTTGTTTTCTTAATTTTCTATTTTTTTTAATTTTGTTTAATTCTATTTTTATATGTATATTATTATATATGTTAATTATATATTATAAATTATTTAATATATATATATATATATATATATATATATATATTAGAATAGCGATATGTTATTATCTATTGTCCCAATTTTGGATTGAGGTGGAGGAGTTGATTTGAGTGATGGTTTTGGTTTAGGAGCTAGGGTAGAAGGTTTGGTGGTTGATGGAGGATTAGATAGGATTTCTACACTAGAGGTAGAGCATTTACGATTGAGAAAATGATGAATTAGAGGTGCATTGTAAGAACCCGATTTTCAAAAATTGTACGAGGGTTCAAAGCCCAATAGGAGTAATTTAGTAGTTCAGAATGGGTCGTTCCCAAATTGGAACGGGTAGTTCTAAATTACTAAAACGAGGGTGATTTGGTATCTCAGAACAGGCCGTTCCCGAATTAGAATGGGCCGTTCCAAAATACTAAAATTGCCTACAAATCTTAGTTGGGAATAGAGCATTCCAAATTACTAAAAAGGCTTGTAACCTAAATTAGAAACGGACCATTCCAAATATGGTAGTTATGGGTTAAAAAGTAACCCCAGAACAGACCGTTCTAGTTTGAGAACGGGCCGTTATGGATGTGAAATTTTACACATGCCATCAGAGTCTAGAACGGGCCATTCTGGATTTGAAACGAGTCGTTCCGGCGACGCTTGATGCCTATAAATAGAGCGCTCTGGCACTCCCAAAAAGCACACCTTTCAATTCTGATTTCTTTCAGTTTTGACTTCTACTTCCTTCTACATTGAGGGGAACCCAGAGGAGGAGACCAACCAGATCCTACTCTAGTTTCAACTACTGCTTATCAAGGTACGAGGGAAAAGGGGAGATTTATATGTAAAGTTACATGAGGGAATGTGTGGAGAAAAGTTCCTGTGGAATTTTTAATAATTTTATAATTATTTCTATTTAGAGATTTATCGATATTGTGAGATTCTGTATGTGTTTAGGATTATGAATATATGATTAGTTTGTAAAAGTGATGCTCTAGAAGAGAGAACGAAATCGTAGAAAAGTGTCTGTGAGTTAGGTTTTGGGAAAAATTGGGGGTTTTACTATTTGAGTTAAGATTCGATTAAATTGCTGATTCAATTGAGTGTTATATTAATTTATAAATGTTATTGTTATATTATATGGTAAAAATTGATGATGTAGATGAGGATTCATGGTGAATTGCTTGAAGAGTATGTGAACCACTAATTTTTGTGGATTTTGTGTATGTGTTGTGTAATTGAGTTATGGAATGTGAATGTGAATGCGATTGTGATTGTGGTTCCTCACATTGTGACCAAGGGTGGCACGACCTTGGGCAAGAGATGCTACAGGCATGACCTTGGCATAGTATGGGATGGGTGATTCCTCATGCTTATGTCAAGGGTGGCACGACCTTGGGCAAGAGATGCTACAAGCGTGACCTTGGCATAGTGTAAGATGTGTGATTCCTCATGCTTATATCGGGGGTGGCAGGACCTTGGGCAAGAGATGCTACAGGCGTGACCTTGACATAGTGTAGGATGTGTGATTTCTCATGCTTATGCCGGGGCTGGCACGACCTTAGGCAAGAGATGCTATAGGCATGACCTTGGCATAGGGTAAGATGTGTGAGACAATTAATACTTATGTCGGGGGTGGCACAACCTTGGGTAAGAGATGCTACAGGCGTGACCTTGGCATAGTATGGGATGGGTGATTCCTTATGCTTATGTCGGGGGTGGCACGACCTTGGGCAATAGATGCTACAGGCGTGACCTTGGCATATGGTTAATTGCAAGATTTGTGATGGATTGGTGTGATTGTGAATTGTGATGTGAAGATGTTGCATGATTGATAGAATTAGGATATATAGAAATGCTTGTAAATACTTCATTAAGTAATGAGTTATGATGAAACGATATTGTGAATTTTCCTTGTTTGCTTTACATATATATGTTTTCTTTTTTCACCGTATAATTTGTGGATGTTTTAAGCGAGGAAGATCCGGCTATGAGTGTCATCTAGAATGCCAACAGTTGAATTGTGGGTATGCTCTGATATTGTGACATCGGGGCAGAGGATTTCTAGGACATGGAATTTTATATGGATTTGGAGTTGTATTTATTATTTTTTAAAATCAATTTGTAAACTCTTATGTTTTAATTTGTGAAGATTTTTATGTGAACCCTTTTACCAATGTTGAAAAAATTATTTCCTTAATTTAATTACATTATTACGATATATGTGTTAGGGTAGTAAGGGTGTCACATTTAGTGGTATCAGAGCAGGTCGATCCAATCGGCCGTGAGTTATGTACTTATCATGATTTTGTTGTGTACTCTAACATTGTTTTGTTTGTTATGTACTTTGATGATTGGTTTGATAATGATGATGATGATGTTCTCCTTGTGTTGATATTGTTGGGTTTGATACTGTTAGATTATATTGTAATTAGAGGAATGATAGATAGTGTTAGCTAATATCATTATTACTGCTCTTCTTCATTCTTATGAATGCTTAATTGTTTGATACTTCTTGCTTATGTAAGAAGTAGTGGTTGGGTGGTATCACTCGTGTTGCGAGCATAGGTGCAAGTAGTAGTGGACGAAGCATTGTGCTAACCCACTAGAATTATTTGAACCTTATATGTGGATGAGACATTGATTTTTCGAGTGTGTTGGGAGTTTATGGTTGATGGAGTTTCTGAAATCTATAGTTGTAGCGATCCAATCCAAGGAGGGTGTATGTTGTGAATTGGAGTTTTGTTATTCTCGATGAGAGATTGAAATGTTGGTAATTTCCTTGATTGTTGGTGCTTGAATGATAACCTTTTATGGTTCAATTCTTCTTGCATGGCTTGGACCCAACTTTCGTCTATCAGGGCCTCATCCATGGTTCTTGGCTCTATTTGGGATAGCAAGGCAATTTGTGCTTGAGTTCTGAATGAACTTCTAGTCCTTACTGCATCCTTTGCTTCTCCAATGATTTGTTCTTGTGGATGATGAGCCTTCATTTTCCAGTTGCGATTGACTGGTTCTCTGACTTCTCCTTCGTCCTGTTGAGACAATATTTCTTCAAACTCAGACTTCTTCGACTAATCGTTGTTTACCTACATATTCTCAAAGAAGTTGCCTAGCTCTAATATTTCTTTATTAGGCTTATGTTCATCAAATCTAACATGAATGGCTTCCTCAATAGTTTTAGTTCTGTTGTTGAATACCCTATAGGCTCTTGACCTTTCAGAGTATCCAAGAAGAATACCCTCATCGGTTTTTGAGTCAAATTTTCCTAGATTGTCTTTGGTATTCAAAATAAATCACTTGCATCCAAACGGATGAAAATATGATATGTTGGGTGCTCGTCCCTTCCACAATTCATAAGGAGTCTTTTTCAGTAAGGGCCTGATATATATTCAGTTTTGAATATAGCAGGAAGTATTAACTACTTCTGCCCAGAAATGTTTGGGGGTAGAAAAATCATTTAATATTATTCTTGTCATTTCTTGTAAAGAGAGATTCTTTCTTTCTACAATCCCATTTTTCTGTGGAGTTCTAGGTGTTGAAAAATTGTTTTATTCTTTTTTCTTCATGAAATTCTTGGTATTGTTCATTTTCAAATTCTCCCCCATGATCACTTCTAATAGACGCAATTGATATTCTTCTTTCGTTTTGAACTCTTTTACAGAATATATGGAATACCCTAAAAGACTCATCCTTGTGAGTTATGAACAACACCCATGCCCATCTAGTGTAGTCATCTACAATGACTAATTCATATCTTTTACCACTTACAGATGTTACGAGGTTATGCTTTTTCAGCTTTGAGATTAATCTCTGGCTTGCATGACCAAGCTTCTTGTGCCAGATCCACTGATTTTCATATGAAACCAGACAATCAACATTTTTATTTTCTAGTTCGTTAAGCATTATTTTATACAGGTTGTAACATCTGTTAGCTGTAAATAATGTGGATGAATCAGGTGCATGCAAAGCTCTATAATCAGTACAAAACCTCCATTAGCCATCCTTTTTTTTGACTAACAAAACAGGGGAGGAGAATGGACTCGTGCTGGGTTGTATAAGGCCTTGCTCAAGCATTTCTCAGCTATGGTTCAGCTTTGCAAAGACCTTCCTCTAGCTACAATCACATTGTAGATAGCTAATCTGTTAAGTACACTCTCTTTTCAGCAAAACCCAAGGAATATGATGAGCCAAGTTAAAAGGATCCTCTTCTCCAAATTTTGTGGACAAACTTGCCTACAATGTTTATTACTGAATGAGTGTTTCATTGATGTACAGGATTTACCGACCTACAATGTTTAATTATATCATTCATAAAAATGATCAATTAGTTTACATAACTAGTCTACAACCAGAACATATTGGCTTAACATTTGAAACGAGTATGACCAATCAATTTATAAATACGATTCTCATGAATTAAGTAGCATGTACTGTACAAAGATACAATAACATTATAAACCTACCTTCTGCTTCATTGTTGAGAAGACATGCTATACCTTTATCTCTTTCGTGCTTTCCTCCTTCTGGACTCTGCCTTTTGCCATTTCTTTCTAGAAACCAGTTTACTCTTTGGTTTCAGTTTTAACTCAGGTGAGAACTTATAATTTGAATCTCTCATACGTGCTTGTATGTCCTTGAAAAACTGAATGTTTAGTTGCTTAGGCCCTCCTTGTCTAAGCTCTGCATACTCTGGTCCAGAAACAACATTTTCAAATGCTCCAATTAGAATATCTAAATCACTCATAACCTCCCACACATTTGTATACCTCCCGTCAGGACCTTTCTTTAATTTCTTTAGAGCATTCTCAACTGCAACCTTTCTAGCTTGCTTTCCCGGTGACAACTCCTCGGGTTCTTCTTCAGCTTTCAACATCTCAGAGATGGTTCTATATTTGGGCATTTCATCAAACTCAAACAATTTATCTATGTACTTGTCACTACTTTCATTTGGGAAAGCTTCTGTAGGAATATCATCATCACTATCCATTTCATCACCAGTCCACAGTGTCTTCTCCTCATCACTGCCAGACCAGACACTTTTTAACTCATCACTGTCATCAGCATCAATCAGGTCTGAATGTTTTTTAGCTTCCAGTCTTGCTTTCCTTATCTCCTTATCAAGATGACCCTTTGGACCCATTTCTTCATCACTTTCATCTTCACTTCCTGTCCATAGAGTGTTATCTTCACCCATCTCCTTTGTCCAGGCTTTTTTGAACTCTTCATCCCCTGGTCTTCCACGGCCAAAGAGATCATAGCCTTTGCGTGCATCATGTGCATATGATCTCAATGCTGCAAATCCAGTTCATTAGTTCAAAGGAACTGATACCATATAACCCATATTAATTGTATGTATGAAGTGTATGAACGCAATAAAAGAGTAGAATCTTGAACTTTGGCATTAAATCACATAATCGAGAAAAGAAATGAAAAAGAATGCCCCTTTCTTTTTTTATTTGGTTCTTCACTTTCTACCAAAGTTTGACCAATGAAAAACATGCCAAATGACAATGAAACCAAATTTTACATGGAAAGAAACAGGGATAATTTCCAATGTCCAACGAATCTAAGGGTCTGTTTGGTTTAAAAGAGAGAAAAAGATGAGTTAGAAATTTTGTTTGATTGAGTGGAGAAGATGAGAGATACTTTAATTTTCAAGAAGGGAGAGATTTAAAAAATCAATTAACCTTTGTGCTCTTAAAATTTTGAATTTAAAAATATTTTAGACTTTATACTACAAATGTTTTAAAAAAGTTCCCCTCCCCTTCATATCCCTCAAATATTGCAAGGGAGTTAAAATCAGATAAGAAATGAGGGGTTTTGTTCCACTCCATTCCCCACTACTCCCCCCACTAAAAATTGAACCAAAAAATTACTCCCATCCTCTTCCCCACTATTTTTCTCCAAACAAACACTATGGAAAAGAAATATATAGATGCATTTGATTTAGTGCAAAAAAATTAATAAAGAAAAAAAATGGTTCCTGTGATTAGATTAAATCAGGATTTTTGTCTTCTATCAAAAACTCAGAAATGAATACATCAAATGGCTACTTCTAATTAATAAACAAGCATAACCAGTTCAAGCCAACAGGTATTAACAAAAAATCCTAACCAAAGATTACCTTGAAAATTCAAGGGAGAAAGACTATCGCAACAATTTGGTAGTACAGTTGTAGCTGAACCATAAAATAGTTTTGACCTGAAAAGAGCAACACGCAGAGAGAGACGAGGCATTTCATTTCAGGTATTGCAATATTTAAAGAAAATAAAAATGATAATGTGAGAAGAAAAGTGAGAATAACGGTAACCTTTGAGAATGTGAGTTAGCGAGCCTTAGAAGAGATGGAAAGTAGGAGAACGACCTAGATCCCATTAACAACAACTGCTTCATCTACCTTCAACTATCGCGGCGGTGCCACGTCCCACTTTTCAGTTGCAGCGATTTGCAGCGGCTCTGAGAGCTACAACTGGTTTTCGTCCCTTAAGACTCTAACAGACAACGGAGGAACTTATTATCTATCACAATTTTTTACATTAACAATCAAATTAACTTAATCGCTCCCTTATATGTTAAACCCAATTTCAAAATTTAATATTTTAAAATATGTTAATTATAATTAAAAATAATAGTGTTATGAAATAAATTATTTATTTAAAATTAAAAATATAATTTATATATTTAAAAAAAAACTACATTTCTAACAAAAATATGCACAACCTATCAAGCATATCAATTGCATAAATATGTGACCTATCAACCTATTGCAATAGTAGCTAAAAATGGGACCGATAAGGAAAATCCTAGGAGAAAAATCTGTGTACTCTATAATCATATAATTGTCTCGTGTCATGAAAATATTTGTTACAAATCTAATCTAATCATGTTCAACTTTACTATTAGATTATTAATTAGTTATATAGAGAGACCCAACCAAGCAAGGCTCCTTCTTATCGATCTACTGCAATGGAGTACTTTCCTTTAAGCATTGCCACGTTTCACATTTCACTTGTAATGCATTTATTTGTTATATTGAACCCTGCATTTGCCACAAAATATTGTGATTTCCCTGCGATCTTTCACATTTCTGATGGCGGTCTCACTATTGATTTCATAGGTAATAACTTTTTATTACTTCAATTATTGTTGTAATTGTTCAATGTCTTATATGGGCCTTTTTCTATTAAACATGCTCCGGGATAATTTGGGATTTTAGAGTGTTTAGATAAAATTCAACTTATCTAAGTTGAACTTGATGTTCTTTGGATTAGAAATTGGATTTTAACACTGAAAATTCAACTCAATCTAATATATCGAACAAATTGGATTTTTAGCTAATATATATTTTGGATTCATTTAGTCCTTTCTATTTGGACGTCCAGTACACTCAGTTCAAATATTTCAAATTAAGATGAATAAATTATTTATGTTCCTTAGTATCTATTGGGATGCAAACAAAGTCTCACATCATTCAAATAAGAGGATGAACATGGGTTTATACTTTATATACACACAGTTGTCTCTATTGGTAAAGAGGCCTTTTGGATGGTATCCAAAAGCAAATATGTGAGAATTGGACCCAAAGTGGTGCTTGTGAGGGGGGTTATGAAGAAATAGAATATTATGGTATAAATGATTGCACTGTTTTATTGAATGGCAGTAGGAAAATCAACTTTCCACCATCATGGTTGAAAGGAATAGTACAATCGCAAGAGAAGCAGAAAACATCAGAGAAGAATTAAGAAACGTCAGAGAGAATATGCAAGTCATACCTTCCACACCCTCTTTCACACTCCCTCTCCCTATATGAATGGTCCCTCATACAAATTCCCTCAACATGCTATTGCGGGTCCGTGTCCTAGTCCCACGTCTCACTCCCTGAATTTCCGGGTTGTTAGTAACTACCCCATCATTTTCCCCATTTTGCCCTTCTCCTTGTAAACTTTCTACATTATTATTTTCCATGTAATACGGTTCCACTGGCCTCTTCATTACATTGCCTTCCCCTTTAAGAACAACCTTGTCCTCAAGGTTGAGATAAGGAAAATGAGTTTTAATAAATGTGACATCCTCCCAGGAATTGGGAACATTGCTGCTAGGATCCCATTGAACCAAGACTTGAGAAAGCAACTTAGAACCTTGTAAAATTGTGCGAGCATGCAGGATGGCCACCGGCTGCAAAAAGGGACCTAATTCAGAAGTTGTTAGTGGCAATGGCATGTAAGGCGCATTACTGATTCCTTTGAATGGCTTCAACTGAGAAATGTGAAAAACCGGATGAATGCGGGCAGTCTCGGGAAGTTCCAACTTATAAGCAACAACACCAACTTTACCAAGCACCTTAAATGGGCCAAAATAACGCATAGATAATTTCTGGTGCTTGCGTAATACCACCGAATGTTGGCGATAAGGCTGTAATTTGACCAAGACCTGATCGCCAACCTGAAATTGCATATCAGACCTCTTTTTATCTGCTTGATGCTTCATACGCTGCTGAGCTTTAGTCAAATTACATTTGAGTTGATCTAAGAGTTGGTCCCGCTTAGTGAGCTGATCCTGAACATCACGCGGGTCTGTTGGGCTACGCTGATAACGAGTCAAAGTAGGTGGATCGCGGCCATACAAGGCTTTGAAAGGGGTCATACCCAAGCTCGTATGAAAAGAGGTGTTATACCAATACTCTGCCCACGTCAAACCTTTGGACCAAGACTTGGGATTGTCGAAAGTAAAACAGCGCAAAAACATCTCTAAACATTTATTCAAGACCTCAGATTGACCATCAGTTTGCGGATGGTAGGCAGAGCTCATAGCTAGCGTGGTTCCCTGCAACTTAAATAAATGTTGCCAAAAGTTACTAGTGAAAACTTTGTCGCGATCAGACACGATTGACTTCGGCAGACCGTGTAACTTGACGATATGCAACGTGAATGCTTCAGCCACCACTTTGCTACTAAAATCCGATTTTAAAGGCACAAAATGACTATATTTAGACAGTCGATCGATCACCACCATAATAACTGTGAAGCCACAAGAGTTTGGCAAACCTGTGATGAAATCCATGGCAACATCATCCCACACTTGTTGCGGTATGGGAAGCGGTTGTAACAACCCTGCAGGGAGGGAGTGACTCACTTTGGCCTGCTGACATATAATGCATTGCTGCACAAACCGAGTAACATCCTCTCGCATTTTAGGCCAATAAAATTGAGAGGAAATTCGAGCCAACGTTCGGGCAATACCGGCATGGCCCCCAATAGGCGAACTGTGATATTCAAGAAGCACCTTCTGAATCAAAGGACTCGGGGATGGTAACACGAGGCGATCCTTCCAATAAAGCAACCCATCGTGCAATTTGTAACGCGCATCTGGATTGGCATTGGCGAAACATAATTGCATGAGGTCGTATAAGTGAGCATCATTTTCAAGTGCTTGCTTTAACTCGTGTAAGAACAGTGACTTAGGCGCGGACCAAGCCATAAAAAAAACACGTGACAACGCATCCGCAGCAATGTTCTCTTTTCCCGGTTTGTATTCGATTGTGAAGTCATAACCCAAGAATTTGTGAAGCCAAGCTTGTTGCTCAGGGGTTTGCAAAGATTGGTCCAACAAACTTTTCAAACTTTTGTGATCTGTTCTGATAACAAAGGTATGCCCCAATAAATAATGGCGAAATTTTGCCAAAGCTTGGGTGATAGCGAATAATTCTCTAATATAGGCAGATTGTTTCTGCATCCTGGGCGCCAGCTTTTTGGAGAAAAAAGCAATTGGATGATCATTTTGACTCAGCACTGCACCAATACCAGACCCTGAAGCATCAGTTTCAAGTGTAAAAGGCTGATGAAAGTTAGAGAGAGACAAGACAGGGGCAGTAGTAATGGCCTGTTTTAATGATAGAAACGCGTCCTCTGCAGCCAGGGTCCAAGAAAAAGCTTCTTTCTTTAGCAAATCAGTAAGGGGAGTCGCAATATTAGCATAAGACTTGATAAAACGTCGATAATAGCCGGTCAGGCCAAGGAAACCTCGAAGTTTCTTGACATTCTCTGGACGAGGCCACTCCAAGACGGCTTGGACTTTACTCTTATCCATCGCGACCCCAGATCCCGACACCACATGGCCCAAATAATCTACTTCCAACAAGCCAAAAGAACACTTTGAAAGTCGAGCATACAACAAATGGTGTTGTAAGGTCTGCAAAACCGTTTCCAAATGAGTCAAATGTGCCACCCAAGAGGGGCTATAAATGAGAATATCATCAAAAAACACCAGCACATATTTGCGCAAAACATTTTGAAAAATTTGATTCATTAAGCTTTGAAAAGTTGCCGGGGCATTGGTGAGCCCGAAAGGCATGACCAGCCATTCGTAATGACCATGATGCGTACGAAATGCTGTCTTATGACGATCGGCAGGCTGAACCAAAATCTGATGATACCCGGATCGAAGATCCAACTTCGAAAAATATTTGGCTCCATATAGCTCATCCAATAATTCATCCACAGTTGGCATGGGAAAACTATCCTTGATAGTTATTGCATTCAAAGCTCTATAATCAGTACAAAACCTCCATGAGCCATCCTTTTTTTTTACTAACAAAACAGGGGAGGAGAATGGACTCGTGCTGGGTTGTATAAGGCCTTGCTCAAGCATTTCTCGAACCAATTTTTCAATTTGTTCTGTCCAGGTACCATGACTGGGCATTTTTTGTTTTTGTTGAATAGATCTGCAATAGGCACTATTTCAATTTTTGGTACCCAAATGGATTTGGGTCCATGAGGGTTAGCTCTAGAGGTTTTGGAAACCCTCTTCTGATGCATGTGACTGCATTTGGACGTAAAATGTCCATTCTTTCCATACAAGGGAAATGCGTATATATATGTTTTGATTTCTGATTTGGGTTCAATGTATCCTAACCATGTTCTATCTTTCCCGTTCCTGGAGTGTTTCAGAAGATGCTTAAGATTTTTGGTTCCTAGTGTGAATTTTGATAAGTCTGATTTTAATAAATCAATTTCTTTGTTGAGTTTAATTACTTCTTCTGAAGTTGAAAAGAGTTTTGCATTTTCAATTTTTAGTAAACCATTTTCTTCAAGTAGTTCCAAAATTCTTTTCTTTTGATCTTTATATGCAGTAGAAATCTTTGTTGAATCTGATAATAGTTGGTTACATGCATGCTCAATAATTTTAAGGTCAGACTTAGTTACCTCCTCATTATCAAATTCTGATGATGAATCTGCATCTGCCATGAGACAGATGTTTGCTTCTTCGTCTCCTTCAGACGATGTTGTGTCGAGGTCCTCCCAGGTGGCCATCATGGCTCTCTTCTTTTTGTAGGGGATCAACTTCTTCTGTTCTTTTTCTTTCTCTTTTTCTTTTTCGATTTTCGGACATTCTGTTTTGTAATGTCCAGGTTTCTTACATTCATAGCACAATGGTTGTGCCTTTTCTCTGGGAGATCTGCTGTATTTTCTCCATCATATTCATCCCTTTTTC